AGAGGAGAGAGAGAATGTTGTCAGACAGACAGACGCACGATATTCACCTCATTTAAAGCCTCTCGTACAGTCTTCCGTATCTCCTCTTCCCTTAGGATCTCCTCGCCCCCTTTTCCTACCGCTTTCTTCTGGGTGACAGCGCTGACAACAGCATTGGCGACAAACAGACTCACCACCACACAAAGAGTCAACACCTTGACGTTCATCTTGTACTGGTAACCTGAAAGTTGTGGAAGAAAAAAACAGTCACCCCAACAGAACACTGAATGTTGGCGCTTTTTACGTCCCCATTGATATAGCTTAGATCATTTAGAAGCCGTGCTGCATGCAACCGTGCCTGTCAGGGCGAACTGGGGCTGAGACTGAGTGGGATACAAAACCACAGGAGAAAGATCGAGTTCTTGGATCAAAACTTCTCACCTGGAATCGAACTTAGGTTTTCTGTGTGCAAGGGTGGAGCACCTAACCTCTTCAGGGGGCTCTCGTGGTCTAGAGGTTAAAGTGTTCGCCTCTCATCCAATGTGTCCCCCAGGTTCGAATCATGATAATGACGGAAGTTTTTCTTCTCTACAATGTTCTCCTTTCACCTCCTTTCCTGCATGCTCCTTAATATTGTTCTGTCGTCTGCTTTCGCCTTCACGTTCTGCTCCCACCCCCTCACCTCCTTTGCCCCCTCCACTGGGCCACTGACTCTTTCCGCAGCTACTGCTACTCCCTGGCTCCTTTTTTACTGTTGTCTATCATTCACATTCCTGATCTTCTTGTAGGAAAGATCTACACCTAGCCTTCTCGGACAAGGGCAAAACAATCTCGGAGGTTCCGTGTGCAAGTTATGCACGCTGAGGATCCCTTGATGGTCAAAGATCGATCAAAATTCAAAGTTTCCTACCAAACTGAAAATGTGTAGTGTCCGCGTGCTCATATAACTTTATGCAGTTCCGAGCGCCGTCCAGGAAAAGGAACAAAAAAACCCTCTTCCCCACGGACGCTAATGATTCGAATTGAGTCTTGTGTGAGCTGGTGATAAAGGCGAGTTGAAGAGAACATTTTACGCCCAGGGCACCGCTTTATAAAAAAACAGTCTTGTAAAAGTTTTGTCCGTGAGTTATGGACAATGGAAATGAAAGACTGAGTAATAAATCATAAATATCGTCTTGTGTTGATACGGTAGGCTTTTCTTATTTCCGTTGTCCACAACTCAGAGATAACACGGTTGACCAGCCTTTTTGTCTTAATGCGCTACTAACCAAAGAGAGGGTATTATGTGTTCATACTCACAATGTAGATTTCAGCTCCCTTCTCTGTGAGGTCACAAGAGGCAGGCAGTACGTGTTTCAATTTTGTCTTCTGATTTGTCCGATTTTATACGTTTTAGGCGTGAAATCCTCATCAGAATGGACGTTCCCAGGACAAATAAACGACTGTTTGGGGATACCGCAGTAGACAATACAGCTAGATGACTCTTTTTCTCACCTGGCGAGTACTGTAGTGTGTGGGTGTTTGGGCGTTGTCTCAGTTGTTGGGCCACAAAACGCTACAAATACAAACATGACACCCAACCTCGTAAACATGTAAATGATAGCTTTCTCAAGGTGTTAAAACCAATGAAGGATGCTATTTGTGTTTTTTCTTCTGGGATCATGGTCAGGCAGGAATACTTTTTGACTGAGGCCGGCAGTGGGGAGGGGGGGGGG